CCTGAAATATGTGTTTGGAGAATTTTACCTTTGTCGAGGGCTGTACCAAAAGAAACAGAACATGTGTAATTGTATTAGCAGCTGTAGCTATCAGTTTGAGAAATAGAGCACTGATGATGGGAATTGAAAGTTGAATGATATGACGAGTGATTATCATTCAACAAGAGAAAAGGCTTTCGTGAAATCTGAGAGAGAAGAATAAAGCAGTTTAGAAGATTACACTTACAATTAATTATGTATTACTCGTGCCAGCCCAGATAACTATCAACTGAATTCGAACAACTATAAAAACTATCTGTCTGTCATCACAACATTTGTCGACAATCTTTTATTCCTATCATTATACGTAAAGCCTAACCAACGCCTTCAATTCTTTTCTCAATCATCATCATCGGCGGCCAAAATGTTACCCTGTGTCCTCGTGTTACTGAATTGATTCCCTTGACAAACACTTGTATCAGTACTCTCTAGTTGAGAAATCTATTCCTCAAGCTTAAAATCAGGTTATGTGCAAATCAAATGCATATTCCCAAGCGGCATGATCAGCTGGTGAGCTGTGAGACCGATGAATAAGAAGCTTTGTGGCCTCCAAATTTCTCCTTTTAACCATTTTCATGTACAAGATCGCTATAGGGTATGGTAAAATCACCACCAGTTCTAGTAGGCCATGGAATTTGACCATGAACAGGTTTTAATTGAGAAATATGAAAAGTTGGATGCGCATGACAACTTGCAGGGAGATCAAAACCTGACAATAGCCTAGAGCTCCTAACTGAAATTCTCATGTTTGTTCGTTTTTTTCTCGGCTAAGTATTTTTATTGAGAAATATTCAATAATTAAATTAATATACATTAATACTCCATGATACTCGGGAACTATGTTACTTAAAAAAAAAAATCAATTCAAATAAATTTACAACAAATAAATAAATCAACTAAAAACAATTTTCACCTAACCTAAAATACATATTCTGAAAATCATAATCTAGCAACAAATAAAATAATTTAATTGAAATTGAACAACAAAATTTTAAAAAAAAATCCAAAAAAATTAATTTCATATGGAAAAACAAATCCTATAACAATATTCATACAATTATTTAGAACAAAAAAAATTTAAAACACACACACATATTATCCAAAAAAACACAAAAAAGAATTCACTGTAATTTACCGACAAAAATATTCTGTTAATATTTATGTTTGTATTTGTTAATTTTATGGTAGTGTTATATTAAAATAACCTCAGATCCTAAATTAGACGTTTTGTCATCCTAAAATGAGATTCATTTAACATTCAATATAAAATTTACATGAAAACAAATAGGAAAATTAAAATTTACACGGCACAGTAAATTTACAAATTACAAATGAGTTAAGATACCAAAAGAATCTTTGTTATCATATTCATGATAAAGACAAGCATGGTGCAATACATGCATGAGGTTAGAATGGTTTAAAGATAAGTGAGAGAATAGCAATGCCAACATGAGTTGAATGGTGTTTAAGGCAACATAACAAAGTGAGAACGGGTGGCTCTTAATAAGGCAAGTTAGACCATTAGGAGTAGGCAAGCTCTAGCTCAAGCAATCCAACCTTGGGTAGTATAAAATGCATATGTTTGGGCAAGGAAGATCACCTCTATTTTTAGAACTAATGCTACTGAAAAAATAATAAGGATAACAACTAGTATAAAAAAATGAATAATTGACGGAACTTTAAGTTGCCTATGTGGCTCTCTCGGGAGACGTAATAGATGTCTTTACCCAAGGCCTCACAGTTATGGGCATCAACACATTGAAGTGAGATGCCGGTGAAGTCAAAGGCGATAATAAAATGTCAAGAGAGAAAAAATTATTGCCCTAACTAACTATCCATATCGTAAATAAGATGCCTGTAATGGCCATTTTACAAAATTTGACAAATGGCAAAAAATTCGAGAATTGAACGACTCAAAAAGCTCCAATAGTCTTTAAAAAGCAAATGACAATGTTTTGTTTTTTGTTGTTTTTTTTTAGTTCCATATGTTTTTACCAAGTTGGCAATCTACGCTTAAGATGCCAACATAACGGTTTTGTTATCTTTGAATCTTTTCCTTTCATCAATGAGATCACACTTTTTTTATACATTTTCTTATTTACCTATTTTTTTCTTTTATTATTTTACAAAAAAAATGCACTTACACCTTCTGCTTTTCAAGAAATTTAAAAGTGGATCATCCACGAAATCACTAGCACATAACGCTATATTTACACCTTTTGCTTTTTAGGAAATCTGAAAGTGAATTATCCACGAAATCACTAGCACATAACATTAAGAATAAACAACCAAATTTTGATAAGTATATAGTTGCAATAGTAGAAAATAAATAGGAAAAGGATGTTGTGGAAGAATTCACTAGGTTAGTGGAACAGTTGGAAAAAAATCAAAGATCGGCAAGAGAAGAGCTGGAAACAGTCAATGTCGGTACAAAAGAAGATAAAAAAGAGTTAAATATAGGGGTTTTGATCACTTCTAGTGAAAAAGAGGATTTGATCGCATTACTATGAGAGTATATCAACATGTTTGCTTGGTCTTACACATATAAGATACTGATATTGTAGTGCATAAGATACCATTTAAAGAAAGGTATATGCCTATGAAGCAAAAACCATGGAGGACCTGCCCAAACATGGTACTCAAGGTAAAAAATGAGATAATGAGGTAGTGAGATGTTGGGTTTCTAGAAGTAGTTAGATAGCCATAATGAGTGTCTAATATAATAATAGTTCCTAAAAGAACTAAAATATTAGAGTATATGTAGGATTTAAACAAAGCAAGCCCGAAGGATAATTTCTTGTTGCCTCACATTGATATTCTAGTTGAAAATGTTACATAAAACTTGACATACTCCTTTATGAATGGTTTCTCCGAGTATAACCATTAAGATGGTCAAATAAGATAAATGGAAAACAACTTTTATTACACTATGGGAAACCTTTTGTTATAAAGTAATATCATTCGGATTGAAAAATGTTGAGGCCACTTATCAAAGGGTGATAGAGACTTATTCTGTAATATGATGCATAAAGAGATTAAAGTATATGTAGATGACATAATTGTCAAGTCTATATAGAAAGAAGACCTTTGTCAGAATCTGAAAAGCTGTTTGAAATGTTCAGAAAGTATTATCTAAAGTTAAACCTTGTAAAGTGCTCATTTGGGGTAAAATCTAGAAAGTTACTTAATTTTATGGTAAGTAATCAAGGTATTGAAATAGACCTTGATAATGTAAAGGCAATTCAGGATATGTTGACTTCTAAAATTGGAAAAAAAAAATCAGAGGATTATTGGGTTGTTTAAATTACATTGCTTAATTTATCTCCCAAATAACATTGACTTATGAACCAATCTTCTGGCTCCTTTAAAAGAAGATCCCAAAGTGTGGAATGAAAATTACCAAAGGGCCTTTGATAAAATCAAAAGATATCTATAAAATCCATCTTTATTAGTTCCCTCGGTACTTAACAAACCATTGATTTTGTACCTAACAACAACTGAGAAAGCAATGGGATGTGTACTTGGGCAATATAATGAGTCTGGTATAAAGGAAATGGTAGTATACTATCTGAGTAAAGAATTTACAAAATGCAAATCCAGGTATACCTTAGTAGAGAAGCTTTGTTACACATTTGTATAGGTCACTAAATGACTTTGGTAGTACATGTTGTATTACACCACATGGTTAATTTCAAAGTTAGATCCTCTTATATACATATTTGAAAAACCTTAATAATTAAGTAGAATAGTAAGATGGTAAGTACTGCTGATGAATATAACATAATATACATAACAAAAAAAACCGTGAATAAAAGCGTCATTGCTGACCATTTAGCAGACAATACAATCGAAAACTATGAACATCTAATCTTTGATTCCCTAAATGAAGATGTGCTGATTATAAAAGGGAGGAAAGAGCCAAATTGGTGGACAATATATTTTGATATAATAGTAAATGTGTACGTCAATAGGGCAGGAGCAATAATAATTTCTCTTGATAAGAAACAGTATCTTGTCTCAATAAAATTACAGTTTGAATGCACCAATAATATCATAGAGCATGAAGCTTACATCCTTAGGTTAGAAGCTGCATTAGAATTGAAAATAAAAAAATTTAGTGTTTATGAAGACTCTATGCTAATAATTTACCAAATAAAAAGGAAAGGATAAACAAAAAATGAAAAATTAAGGTCATGTTAAGAATATATGTTCAAGCTAATAGAAAGAATTTGATAAAATAAAATTCACTCATATATGGAGAGATAGGAATTGGTTCGCAAACACTCTGGCTATCCTAGCATTCATGACCAAAAGTGATAATGAAAACATAATACAACCTTTAGAAATTGATGTTAGGAAGTCTTTATAAATTTTATCTTTTAATTAAATTTAAATTTATTGATTCCATCCTCTAATAATTAATTAGAAAGATATTAAGTTTCTTTATTAAGTCCAAATCTACAATTTAATAGGTTATAGGTTTAAAAAATTAACCTAATTTATTCAATTCACTTAGACTTACCTAATTTGTTTCTTTTTTTTTTATTAACTTTTTATTTTTAAGCTTCATTATTCATCAATATTTTATAATTTTTATAATTATTTTTTATGATATTTTTTTATTTTAAAAATAACAGTGTCAACTTGGATTTTTTTTACCTCGTTGAATCTTATTTTTTTAAATTTTATTTTTAAATTAAATTAAATTAATTTCATAATTTTTTATTTTAAAATTAAATTAAATTAATTGTTTTTTTAAAATAGCCCCAATACTAACACAATGCTATTTTTATTATTTATTGGTTCAAATATATTTTAAATATTAAATGAAAAGCAATGGGGAGATATTTTTGGACGGGAGAAGCGTCAAAGTATAACTTGTAAAATGTAATTTTTTAAAATTCACTAGTTGAGTCCAAACCACATTACATGATAACATGTGTAATTTTCGTATTTTTAATTAATAAGCCTTTCCCAATCAAAGGATGGCGGTTCCTTCGACTTTCATAACACGGTCTTCGAAGCAGAACAAAACCAGGACGCGCACAGAACAATAAAAACGAAAACCAGAGACGCAGACGATAGTTAGAGCTCGAAGAATGGAGGAAATAGACGAAACGGAAGCCCAACCTCAGGTCTATTTCCTCCGTTTCTTCCCGTTTTATTTCCGCTCTCGCATTTCTGTTTGGTCGCCGAGAAAACAAAGGAAACCGATTTTTATTTTTTTAATCATGAGGAGAATTTCCTTATCAGCGGAATCATTTAAATACTCAATTCTCATTGTTAACCATCAACATTTTTAAAAGATTCATCTAAAAAAAAACACAGGGTGAGAAGAAAGAAAGGAGTCAGCAATGTATGCCTCTTAATTCGGACTTGCCGTTAGAAATAGGCTTTGCTGATAATTGCAATAATTATGTGATTTCAAGACTCGTAGTCGTGATTAGTACGGAGTTGTGATGTATTTTTGTAGTCGTAATTGCTGGAAATGCTGCATCATTTTCCTTTTGCATTTTTGCAATGTATGTATAACCGTTTCATTCAGATGTCAGCTATTTATTTCAATCTAAATCTACATCTAAATGCAGGTCTATATGGCGTGCTTCCTACATGGCCATCGGTAAGAAATGTGCATGAAGATTGGCCTTTAAAAAAAAATAAAAATAAATGAGTTTTAATTTACGGCTGTGATTTACTTGTATAGTAGTTCGTCAGGAACTGCTTGATGCTAGGTTTTCATTTTTTTGAACTTAAAGCATTTTCTTCCCTTTTTTATATATATGCTGGCAAAATAGTAAAGCTATTCAGGGTTTTTAACGTTTTAATTGCCTAAAGGATTCGAGTCTTTTTAGTGTTTTTATTTCACTACATAGATAACAATCAAGATACTCTATATGTGTCCTCTGAATGCACTGAAGTTTGGAAGTGTTCATGATTGATTGATCTTGTTAAAAATAGAAAACAGAGATCCTGTAATATAAGAAACTGTGTGGGTGTGGCAATTTTGAATTCTTTATAGCACTGGAGTTTTAAAACGGTGAAAAGCCAAAGTGATGTTGTTGATAAATTAATGTACTGATAGGGGCTAATTATTCAACTCTTCAATGAAAAGTGTTTAGTCTGCAATTTTTATTTGCGTTCGGAAAATTTTGTACAATTTATATATAAAATGGCATTTTCACCAAATTCCTGCACAGGGTTGGGATTTCTTACTATGATTCCAGTATTCGCCAACTGCATGTGCTTGAAGTTTGGGAAGATGGAAGCTCAGACTTCCCCCTAATTGATCTGGGTATGACTTGTCTCTTTGTTGGAATGGCGTTCATTTCTATTATTCTTCATCAGTTTTGAATTCTAAAATGGTTTTTCTTGATGTCTGAAAATGATTGGTTCTGGAATATGGATTCATTGCTTGTCATTTAAATTATAGCTTTTTCATATTTCCATTCCTTGTATTTAATATACTCGTTGCTTTTCTTATATCTGGATTCAATTATGCCATTATATCATTAATATCCTTTTCTTTTGCTGAAACACTGGTTCAGTAAAATATCAGGCGAAGCCTTTGACCATTTACGCAAGCACTAAAAGTGAAGAGTCCTTCTTATCTGCTTTACAACGAAGTGGTACTCTACTCTTTACCTGTTTGACTTATGAGCTAATATACATGTGGAATGTGTTTAAGCTTCAAAGTGATACAGATGGCACAACTGAGGCTCCTACGGTGAAACTCGTAAAAAGTTCAATATTCAGCTATGAGCAAGCCTGGCACAGGTATTAGAATGGATCCTGACATATTTGTGCAACTCTACTAGGTTCGAATTTTCATATTAGTTTGCAAAAAAGTGGAGGGTCATGATCAAACCCTACTAAATAAACCATAAGATCACTCTTTGATAATTATTTTTTATGGTGATACTTGGAAATCTTATCATGATTCATTGTAATACATGGGTCAAGAATTTAATGTCTCCCATAATGCAGAGACTAGTCTTTGACTTTCTTCATATTTTCATCGAAGTCATTCTAATGGTAGGTCATTCTTGTTGTTTCATCAATGAGTTCCCTTAAAAATGAAGCATTTGAAGAGCACATATGAAGTTATAAACACTTTAGAATGTATCACTTAGCATACATTCTATTAGCATTTCAAATGTAACTATAACAGAAATGATAACAGGAGAACAAATACCTTGCGCTTAAATATAGAAGTGTGGTTTCGGTACAATCAATTCGACAATGACTGTGTCATTTGATTGGTCCTGAGAGCTTACAACTAAAATTTGATGTTTCTGTTTGGTTTTGTAGATTAATTTACCTTCGAGTGACAGGAATGGATGATGGGCTAAATATCAAGGAGAGGGTTTCTTATGTAAATTGACAAATACGAACTTCATTACTTTTTGGTGCTTTTCTTTTGTAAGGCATGTTGTTTAATAAATATTCTTCTACAATTTAAGTTTCTTTTGTTCCTCTTGAATCATATTAAACTTGTTATTATATGGGCAGATTATTATATGTGCACCTTCTGCCCATAATAATACTTTTTTTCCACCAGAAACTTAGTGATTCCAGCACTTTTTCCATGAAATGTTGAGCATTGCAATATAATAGTTTGAAATCATGTTCTTATCTAGTAGATTATATATAATTTAAGTGCTTTTCAGATCATAATCGATTCATGAGATTTAATGAGAGTAGCATGCATTAGTACTTGAATTTCATTCATCATCCTTCGATCTTCACAGAGGATGTCATATCATCCTTATTGACATGTATATTCTGTTTAAATAGGATCCTCTTCTTTCTATGTAAAAAAAATGAGATAGAAGAAATGACTTGAGTTTAGTTTGGAACTCCACAGTTAGTATGGATAGTGTTTTCTGGTTTAACAGATGAGAAATGGATAGTGTTTTCTGGTTTAACAGATGAGAAAAGTTGTTTTTAGTCATCCTTGCACTGATGCTCTATATCTTGATTCTATTCTTTCTTAATGCCATTTGGAGAACACATTAAATAATATCTGTTTCCCACCCTGAAATGGATGGCTAATGTTGGGATCTGCCAGCTCTTGCATATCACTATATTCCATGACCCCCATAGTGCTACGGAGAGCTTTCTTTTGAATTATGTAATTGGGGTATTTTGGTACTTCATTCTGTTTGCAATTGTGAGTGTCCTTTTTCAGGTCCAGGGAACACTTACAAGATAATATTTTTCTCTTTTATACTTTATATAAATATAATCCTGGTACAGTCTGAAATAAGAATTATTGTACATAATCTTTAATGTGTCTTTAACGATGTCTTTCTATTCTTCCAGTGTTGGTGATGCCCCCAAAGCTTGACCTTTCTCTACTTTAAGCTTCCTCTCTGTTTCATATTGTCAGCTGAGTTCCATGATGGACATAGGAAGTGATGTTCAAGTTCGAGCAAGTGGAGGTCTTCTTGCCATATTAGAAAGTGAAAGGATTGTAGATACCCTTGAGCAAAAGGAATATGGAAGTGCATCAATTACTATCGATTCTGTTGTGGAAATTTCACTGTATCTTTTTATTTATGTATTATTTCTGAACTATTTCTTTTCTTTTCTCCCACTAAGTTTTGTTTTTACATTTTGAAAACAAGTTAACAAATGGAAAAAAAGAAACTTGGAAAACAATTTATCCTTCACAAATCAAATTAGAAACAAATTTCTTAAACTTGATGCAGCAGCTCATGAAGCATTGCAGATTTTTCAAATCGACAAACATCCAAGCCATATGGGCATTGGCGGGGCAAAAGAAGGGGAAATTTTGTATTATCCTGTCAGTTTTCTTATTCAGAAAAGTTGTATCCTGAATTTTTGACATGCAGGTTCTCTGTGTTTGGCATGATGAATAAGGTTTGTAGAGATATAGCTTTCTATTGGTAGTATCTTTGTAGAAATATAATTTTCCATTAGTAGTATCTGTAGGATATTAGACTAACATAGTCCCTCAATCAGTGTATGACGCCCATTGGTAAACGTCTTCTGAGGTAAATCAATTTTGAGACTTTATGATGTTAGCTTTTCCAACATTTTCTCTAATCAAAGGCCTTGAATATATGTTTTTATCTTGCTTTAGAAACTGGTTCCTGAGGCCTTTGCTGGATGTGGAAAATTTGAATGGTCGACTCAATGCTGTATCCTTCCACTGTTTAAGTTAATGAAATTACTTCCTGTTTACATGAATAAGAGCTTGGTCCAGTAATATGGAAAAAGATGGAAAACAATTACATAAGCTGGCATCATTTTGGCATGGGTTTGGTTGCTTGATCTAGCTGAAGATATAGAGTGAAAATGTTATGATCAGAGTGAATTTTTTTAATACATTGAATTTTTTTCATTCCATTACTTTTAGGATCAGCTTTCATAATGATCAAACTTCATATTTTTTGGTTACTGTAACGATGACATATTCCTTGACAGATTAAGATTTCATTCTTTCTTTGTTCTGAAGAATTGATGGTTTCTTTGCGAGAAACATTGAAGTCTGTCAAGGACATTAAGCATATACTCAGAGTACTGGTTTCTTCTTTTTTTTTTCCTGTTATTTTTCATGCTATCCTTATCTAGGTTTTCAAAGTCTTTTTCCATACAAAATGAAGATTTCCGATTGGTTTTTAGTAACAATTTCCGCACAGATCTTTTATTTAAAACAGTGATTATATACAAAATAATTTTGTGGACTTGCAAACTTCTACTCACACAGACATGCTTATGTTCTTTGTTTCTGTCTGATCTGAAAAACCCATAACTCACTCTTTGCACTCTTAATTTATTGGCATTATTACAAACATTAGTGATTTGCTAATTCCTATCATTATTTTTCTTTTTATCTTCTGAAATTTGTAATCTTTCCTTTCATTCTTGAAGAAGTTCGACTCACCAAGCTCCCTGTCTACTGTTGGTGACTGGGCAGCCTTTCTGAAGGTAATCGCACCTCAGCAGACAGTGCTTAAGTTCTCAATCCTGTTGACAAATATTTCTTAGCGCACTCACCTGCTAGCTGGTGCTGAGATGGTTCACTAGTTTCATAATTACAGGATAGCCACCACTACAGATAACCATTCTCATTTGTTTTCATGCAGTTGATTTGTATTTCATTGTTTCCTCCCTTCTCTCTGCTATCAATTGCCTCATGTCTCAAAGTTTGAAACAGTTAAATAGGCTTATTCATTGTAATATAGAACCCAGCCACTTTTTTTGTTTTTCTATGGTTTCTCATTGACAGCTTCTTAATGGAAGTAGGGCCTAAGCAGGACATAATATTGCTTAGCAGTGTATACTGAAAGATTTTCTGTCACTAGCTCAATTTTATGCCATCCAAAGAAGGCTTCAATCAAATATTCTTTTCCAACCTTAAGATTTTGTGTAAGCTCCTTGAAAAGAACTGCTGTAGTGTCAGCTATAGATGCAGAAGAAAAAATATACTTCATTTTTTCTGAAAAGATTTATATTCTTTATTTCTAAAAAAAACAAATGGAAATAATGGCTGACCTTTGCCTTGTATGAATGGAATGAGCACAAAAGAAAAATATTTTTATGGGTACACAAACCTATTCATGCATTATGCCTTCTACGTGTGTATGTGTGTGTTATAAGATCTTCATGCAATTTCCACAAGAGATTATCTTTAGTTTCTTCTAGTGCGTGGATTCATAAAGTTCAGATTATATTTTCTTTCTCCTGATCCAGTGATACTCTTGTAGAGTGTTTGTGCACTCTTGCATTTGGGAAAGATATTTGAAGTTGGAATTTCTGAAAATCTTCAAGAGCATGCTAAGTACTTAAATCTGAACATTGTTGAACAGGTATCAGAACATTGGTTGCCTGCCTTTTATGTGAAGCCTTATATTGTTATCTGTTCTCAAGGTTTATTCATGTTCCCTATGCATGTTTGTTTATTTCCCAGGCTTGTTCATGCATCACAACAGAGCTGGCTTATGTCTATGAATTGGTTAGTCCATTTTCCTGGATATTCTCTTATATGTAAACACTGTAAAAGGTCACTTCTTATTGGAAGTTCCTTCTTCCTTCTTTTTTTTTCCTTTTCTTTTCCTGAATGACATGGAGTTCCAAATCTCTCTGGAAAATGGAGGGTGTGAGAACATGTACTGTTTAATAATTCTGTGTTCAGCTATATAGTTGAGACTATCCTATTCTCCGCATTTCATTTATTTAATCAAGTGTAATTGTAGCCTAAAATAAGAATTTTTTCAACACTTCCATATCTATTATTCAGAGCTTTGTTTGAATGATATTTATATGACTTATTGGCGAGGCTAGTTGGAATAAAAGGGACAGATAATGTACATTTGGTAGCATGATTAAAGAAAAAGCCATGGCATGTGGGGTATAAGGCTTCAATGAGTTAAAGCGAGCACAGGAGTCCAAATAAGAACAGCTTTGGGAACCGTACCAAAAAAAAAGGTGCAAATAGCTGTCTAAAGATGAGAAGTTCAGGGATCTGCACAGAAATCTTTAACAAAAATCAATACTCAAGAAGAAAGGCGTTGATTTTTTATTCTGAAATTTATTATCCACGTTTCATTTTGTCGCATTACTGAGATGTTACAATTGCTGTGATTTATTACAATATGTTGTATCAGCTGGAATATGTGTTGACATGACCTAACATTTTTTCTGGGACATACTGCATCTCATCTTTCTTGATGTCTGAGTTGAATTCACTTCCCATCATTTTGTGGGTCATGCTCTAATGTGTGATTTCTTTTACAGGTGATTGGTGTTATTGATGTTAATAGAAGTAAAGAGAAGGGTTACGGGACAATAGTGAAAGAAGGTTTCTGTGACGAGGTTGCAGATTAGTTGTGATTTCTGGGCCATGATTTTTTTAGAAATGGATGTTTAATCATTTACTCTATGTTCTCCTGTTTCTATTTCTTCAGTAAATATATTAAGATGACCACTTCTCGCCACTACTGAATCCACCTTCAAGATGATAGAATTTCTTTCTGTTTTGCCCAAACCTTAATGCTAGGATTCAACTTTTCTCGTTTGTGCTCAAACTTTGTGTTTCTGATAATTCAGCCTTTCTCACATGCAGTTGGATGAGCTTAGGCAAATCTATGAAGAGCTTCCAGATTTTCTGCACAAGGTAAGTTGTTTGATTTGTACATGGATCAAATTGGAGTAAGGAATTGAAATTGTATGTACATTGAGATCCATTTGACTAACTCCTTTGTAGGTTACTTTATTGGAGCTTGCACAACTACCCCATTTGGGTAAAGAGAAGCTCGTTCCTTGTATTGTTTACATACATCAAATAGGTTGGTCAGAAGCTCTGTATTTTATTGCTATTGAAAAACTTTGTATGACCAATTCAAAGTTTCTTTTAGATTTCATCCCTAATTATAATTGCTTTCAATATGTGATATTACTTTGTCTAATGCCTTGGATATACTTGAATGATGGCTTTTTATACTGCCTCTGTTACATAATCAGTAAATGAATGTCCCAAAAGTAAATGGTCAAGATTTTGCAATGCATTGTGTTTGTGTTGAAACACCAATTTGAACTACCCAGAGTAAATATCCATGTCATTTACAGATGATCAAAATCTGAGTTTCCAATCATGAAACCACATTTTATCTTCTTTACATTCCACTAGGCACTAGAGGAAGAACACTTCTATTGCATGAAAGTTGCTACTTTTTGAGCTAGACATTGAATGAAACACAAGGGGTTTGGCACCAAGATGAAAAGTCTTTTTTGCTACCACAAGACCAAATTGCTTCTGTTAAGAGAAGTGATTGCTAATTGCTTCTGGGAAGCACTAACTTGATAATGCTCTTGAAGGTGTTACTTTATTTTGATAAAGGACAAATATATCATTCATGATTTCATATCTTACCCTATTTTTTTCTTTTAAATGACAAGCATTTTCAATGGCACACTACCAAACCTTTTTTTTCTCCTAAACAGCTTTATCATCTCAGTTGGATTTAGTGTATGTTTGGCTATGTGGTTGAAACCGTGTTTCAACCATCATAAGCATCAAATTGATTTCAACAACGTAGTGAAACCAAGCCTTAGGTTTTTGCTGAAAACACAACAATGCCAGCTGTGATCCAAACAGAACTTGGCCTTCATACATATGGCATCTAATATGCTTGATACATTGTGGATTTTATTTTCCGTAGTAGTGGAAGTTGGGTATCTTAGCTTGGAAGGAATTCTGTGAGTTTTGTTTTTAAACAGGAATTCGTGCATATTGGTTTAGCTCATTTCTCATAGAAATGGAGGATAGATGTTGTTGCCAAACAGATGTTCAATGCGAAGCTGATCTTATTTATTTTAAGCTTGTTATCCTTTTACCTTTATATAGGGTACTTGCTGTGTATTTTTGAAGAGAAGCTTGAAGAAACCTCACTATTGAAGCCTCAAGATTTTGAATTCATGGCAAGTCAATGCTTGTTTTCTATTTTTGATTAATAGTATTCATTCAAAAAATGTATTCTACATATATTGATGTAAATATATTATCAATATAGTTTTCTGATGTTGATGGAGAGACTAAAAGATATTTCTATCGTACCCCAAAGACAAGAGAATTGGATGAACTTCTGGGAGACATTTATCACAAGATACTTGGTATGCATTCTAAATCTTACTCTACCTTCCTAAATATATGTTAGTGACTAGTTATTCTCTATAAATGTTTGTAAGAAAATACAAACAATGTAATGCCTGTTGTGAAAGATAATATCAGATGAGTCTATGGTCCATCAATCCAACTTAGTGAGTGCTAAACTCCGTTGTCTGGTACATAATTAGATAGTCTCCAAGGCTAAGAGAAGAGGTCTAGTTGCACATGCTTTTTGGTGTGAGGAAAATGTGTAAATGTGTCTTATATTGAAATTATATAGAATGGTGGCAAATACTTTTAATGTGTTGGCACATCATTGTTTATTTATTTTATTCCTATTTTTTAAAAGCTGTTCATTTGTTCATATGGAAAGATATGGAAAGGGCAATCACTAGGGACTTGGTTTCTCATGTGCATCTCTTTTCTGACCATCTGCTTAAGGCTATAAATTTTGCGGCTGAACTTGATTGGTAAGAATCATCTAGCTACTAGCTCACCCTCTCTCTCTCATCATATATGTAAATTTCTTTTTGGATGCATAGCTGACCATGTTATATGATGTTTACATTTAGCATTTTGTCACTGGCCATAGTTGCTCATCAAAACAATTATGCGAGGCCTATTTTGACTGAAGAAACCTTGCTTGACATTCAAAATGGAAGGTGAAAATTGATGGGATCATATGAACTGCTTTTCATGGGAGAAAAACCCTTAAAAAGTTGGATCTACTGATTGAGGGTGTTAATGAGTATACACCCTTTTGCAGACATGTTTTGCAGGAAATGACAGTAGACACATTTATTCCTAATGATACAAAGATTCTTCATGATGGTAAATTTACACTAGTCATGACATTGATGTCAACAAAGTCTACTCCATTTCAGTAAGAAACTAAGGTATACTAGTTTTTGTGCTGAAATTTTAAGTTTGTGTTGCTTCAGAAAGGATCATTATCATCACAGGTCCAAATTATTCCGGGAAGAGTATATATATAAAGCAGGTCAGTAATGATTATCAGGAGAACTCTATGTGTGCATGTATGAGTGCTCACGTGCATATCTGTGTGGTGCACTTGTGCATGTCTGTGTGATGCACCTGCAAATATGGGTGTTGTGTCTTATGCTTTTTGTCATTCCTTCAAATTTAGGGCATGATTCTTTCAAATAAAATCTATTAGTCGGTTGCTTCAGCAGTTGTCAGACAAATGGATACATTTTGCAGCATCTTCCTCCATGTGTCAGTTTACATTTAAAGTCAACAGACGACTATTTAGGGTACAATGTTTTGGTCATCATCAAACATGTTATACAACTATAAAATGCAAGTGCAGTGGATTACTTAAGCTAGCAGCAACATGTGTATCATGACAATTTGTTTTCACCATCTCCATATTTCTATGGATGTCTGTCAAGTTCATGGTATGGATGCTTCTGTTGCAATTAGTCTTGAGGGTCATCTTGCTGTCCATTCTTGTGATGGTCTATTTTCATGCAAGTTGCAATTGATGAGTTTATGTTTTTTATCGCATTTTTACAAATTTTGCTTTATGAGCGTTGTTTTCCAGGTTGCTTTAATTGTTTTCCTTTCTCACATCGGAAGTTTTGTACCAGCAGATGCTGCCACTGTGGGATTGACTGATAGGTGTCTGACCTTCATGATTCCAGCATTTTTCTTAGAATAACAGTTGATCTTTGTATTCAATCATCATGCAAAAGACTACACTCTTGTAACAGGATATTCTGTGCAACTGGAAGCAAGCTTATGACTGCAGAACAATCAACATTTATGATAGATCTGCATCAAGTAGGATTGATGCTAAGGTAAACTAGCATCAGGTCAATTACGATGGGTTCACATTTCAGAACTAAAGGCCATTGTTCATGTTAATTGTCTCACAATCTTTAGCACCTAGACTTTGTTGATGTCTTATCATAAGGGTTATTCTTTTGTCTGCCAATTCAACATGGTGTTATAGAGAATGTTGGAGTGCTGAAGTTTTTTTAAAATATCTGAATGCTTAGTAACCCAAAGCTTATAAGACATCTTTAGAATCCACCTTTGCAACCATAAGGATTCATCTTGACAAATTTTCAGGCAAACAACTTCACGATCTTTGTGTCTGTTGGATGAATTTGGTAAAGGTACTTTAACTGAAGGTTAGTTTCTCTTACAAAGACTGGGTTTTTGTGATGCCTAATCATTTGTCCTTGTTCTTTAATTCACGAGTATACTACGATCTTGAATACAGATGGCATTGGTCTACTTGGTGGAACTGTAAATTACTTTGTTGCATGTGATGACCCTCCAAAGGTTTGATATTCGTCTTCATCTCCTGTGAGATTTTATATATCATACTAGCATAATAGTTCTCATAAGCCTAGTGAAATTCAATGAGGATCTTTGTATGCATGATCATGCTAAACAATTGTGTTTTCCTCTAGTATTACTTCTTCCTGGTCAATTCCTTGATAGCATTAGCACCTTCTGTGATGGGTGCATATTATCATATGTCGAAGCATCAAAGCACACAAAAGAAAAACACCTGGGCTAGTTTCTAAGCATTTGATTTGGCTGACGACGTCATGCAGCCTAGGGATTTAAATTTGACTTTGGATGGATGTTCAAGGAACAGAAAGAGATTTCAACTCAAGCTTTAATTTAGTGGGATAAAGGCTTTTATGATTGGTTATGAGAGTTGGTTTAAGTTTTTCAAACCAATTTCAGTTCCAGCTGAGGCTGCTCCTAGTTAGAAAGGTCAAGGGCCATTCTGTAATTTTAGAGATTGCTGGAAATTTCAGTGGTATGGTCAAACTTTTATTTTCCTGTTTTATTGCTTTCTTAGTCCTTATAAAGTGGACTTGTTTATGTTTCTTATAGGAATCATTACATTTTCTTACATAGGAATCCAAGACCAATAAGGATTATTACTGACCCAAGCCTAAATATATATCTGCTTGCTGTCTTTTAATTGGATTATGACAGATCTACTATGAACAAAGTGAAGCCTTTTTCTTTGAGAGTGTGATGCTTTCACTCAGGAGCGATTCCTTAAGCCCTAGGTTCATCTTAGGTTCTCATTTAAGGATTGATTCTTTCAACCTGCCAGTGTGAGGGTAGCAGCAGTCCGTGTTCTGTTATTCTTCAAATTTTCTTTCAGATCTGCTTTCAATTCCACCTTAAAAATACTAAATTTGAAACCTTTACTAGTCCTATAAACAACAAACTCAAATCTTCCCCTGGACTTTTCGTGTACCACTACATCCACCCATTTGTTCTCAGCATTCTTTATTCCCATTGATGCGGAACAATGAACAAAAAGACTCAAAGCATAAAAGAAATAAGCTTTTAGAGAAAGAAGCTAAGAATTGAAAGCAAAGGAAAAGAAGAATGGGGATTAGAGATATGCAAAATCTATAATATTTTTAATTAATCATCAAAATTGTCTTATAAAATAACAAAGAAACATATAAATAGTAAAACCCTTAAAACATCTTATTATTGGGCTCAACCCATTAAATCAAACTATTTAACATAAATAATTTCAAATAAATAAAATAAAAAATAAGATAGGCTCAAATGAGTTCAGAATCCTAACTAAAAAGTGACAAGTTGGGTCATCATACATTGTCTTCGTTCATATATCCATGTAATTTGCAATGTGGATCTAGTGTCCCCACCACCCATGTCAAGTCCGGTACTATTTACTAGGCTTCTTTGTGGTCATTCTCACCATTTCTATTATAGATATTCTTTGTATTTGGCTAGTTTTCTCCACTTACTTCAATGTACCCACCTCTGGCCCTACATCTGCTGCTGGCATTTAAACAATTCTGAGGAACACCTAATATTGGGAACATGGGACAGTATAGGTAAGCAGAGCTGCCATCTACTAAAATTTCTCAAAGTTTTTTGTTCTTACAGGTTCTGATGTCCACTCATTTGACTGAGTTATTTAATGACGGTTGCTTACCAAAGGTATGCATTATGTTTTAGTTGCTTACCTAATTTAGAAACACTTCTCGCTTTACCATTTAGAAGCGGGTTTTTATTTTTATTTTTAATTAATTCCAGTCTGAGAAGGTGAAATTTTTCACCATGAGTTTGCTGAGACCTGACAACAACTCTACAGACATCAAGGACATTGTGTTTCTCTATCGGTATATTTCTGTGACCTTTTTGCATCATGTTACAGCAAGGTAACATATTTTACCCCTTGCCACTGGGGCTACCCTGGGTGTTAACGCACACCCCTCTTTAAAAAGTGAAGCTTGTAGGTTCAAGAGGGAGGACTGAATGTTGAGGAATCAACTAGAATTAGTCGCCTCTTTGTACTTAAAAACAGAAAATAACATTTTATCACTCAATGAAAAGGAGAAGATTGCCATTGGTTGATGATTCAATTGTTTTCTTTTCCGATGTTGGGATTATTGATGTTAGGGAATATTTTCACTGCATTAATGGTTTAACAATATGATGGGATTTTGGGCACTGCTCAGCATGGATCTCTTTCTCCCTACTCCACACTTCTGCATTGCTGATTGTAGCATCCAAGTTGTCATGTTTGTAGGCAAGAGGGCGGTTAGTATGTTTGTGACCTCAGATGTACATTCTTGAGCCATTAACATATCAACAGTGAACTTCTCATATTGGGCTTCTTTGCCCAGTGATGGCTCTTATTTCTTGACGGATGTTGAAAGTGATTCTACTAATGTTTAGAAGACTTTTTACAGGTTAGTTCCTGGACATGCACTTCTTAGCTATGGTGAGTGCATACTTTTGTGTGCTTTTTGGTATACATGCTGGAAACTTGCAGTAAACTCACGCTGATCTATGGTTTGCAGGACTCCATTGTGCTCTGCTAGCTGGTACATTCTGACTTCATGATTTGTTTAAGAAACTTGGTCAAATTATGTCCAAATAACAGCTATATGTTCCTGCAGTTGTTTTCTTTTTTCTTTTTATTCTCTTTGGGGAAGCTGCTAATGGAGAAATAAATACGGATATGATACAGAGATTTTCAGTAACAGCAGGATGATATAACTTGTTTGTGTTTGCAAGCATGACTAAGATTTGATAGGTAGAGCTGCTCCCTATAGGATTGACTCAAGTCAAGTAACCCCTAAACCAGTTGGTGTCTGTTAGATTGTGATAAATGTTGCGCTGACAGTGTGACAGAATGTAGTTCTCCGGACGACAGACTTCTGTTGAAAGTTACCTGTGTAAACAAGAGCTATCATTGCATTAAATTCATTCATGAAGGGGCTGCATCACTCCAATTTACTGATGACATTGTTCTTGCAGGCGTCCCCGAGGAAGTTATTAAGAGAGCAGCATTCATATTGGATACTGTCGAGAGCAGCAGTTATGTTGAGCGATTGTGCAATGAGAATTTATCAGCCCAGGATCAGCTAAACAAGGTCTTGAAGAACAAAACTTGTAGAATAACAGTGAAATCTTGGAGGTATGCAAGTATTGTTCTTGTATATGTTTTACTAAGGAGTTTTGCTGTTGTATTGAATGCAGGACACGGTTGACCGAATGCTGGAATTTGATGTTTTCAAGGGTGACATCAATCTCTTCTTCCAGGATATATTCCCTTGTTAATCCAAAGAACATCGAATGTATCTTTTGTCTATCGTTTTAGAAGCATCACCTTACCAACTACAAAATTTATGTCTCCTTTCAGCATGATTTCTCCACTTGATTTCCCAGCCCATTTACATACGATGCGATAGATATAGAACATGAGGGATAATTCTTTGGTCCCTTGGGATGGTTTCATAGAGGAAGACAACATTGTCATAAACTTCAGTCTTGGTATATTTTCGTGGTTGGTTCCTCCAAGAAATATCTTGATAAAAATCCAAGGTTTTGATCTCCTGATGGACTTACTACGTCTCTCTTTTCAGTGCGCCTCCTTTCCCATCCAATCCGAAACCTGTCCGCATTAGACTGAGAAGCATGTCCAATCGGTAAATAATTGTCAGTTTGTTTCTGTTTAGCTATTACTAGTTATTTTACCTGTGTTGCATGGTATGATATTTTTTTTGAAAAAAAAAGACTCAAGCTTTTCAAATTTGTTTTTATTTTTTAATAAATATTTATCAAGATATGTATTTTTTTGGAAAAAAATAATGTGTTAGTATTATTAATGTATTTTTTAACATTGAATAAAAATATGACTAATATATTTATATGTAATAAAATATAGTAAAGATTATATATGTTAATAAAATATTTAGATCTCATGCAGATTTTAAAAAAGATAAAATAATGTTGCAATTGCTATATTGAAGTATTAATTTTTTAATCTTTGTATAATATTTTTTTCAAGAAGTGTAAAGTAAAAAATAATAAAAATAAGAATAAAATGAATAGTATAAATAAGTGTAGAGTGATAAATATTCAAAGTGTAAATAATAAAAAAATAATATTTGAAAAAAAGTGTAAAGAAAAAAATTACTAAAAAAGCAAGATAAGAAAAAAAATAGTAATAAATAGATCAAGTATAAAATGATGAAAATTCTAAGTATAAAAGGAAAAAAGATATATAAAATTTTTTTCTAAAACAAATCAAATTATAATTTTGCATCTTAAAAATATCAGCAAAATTTGTAATTATGCAATGTCTATATGAAAACACTATTTTCTTATAGTATATGTATGATTAGGTTATTAAAAATTAATTTTTTTAATGTTAAAAATAATATCCTTATTACGAAGAGGTAAAAAATAAATAAATAATTTGATATAATTCGATTCACTCAATAAATTTAAAGATAATTTGGATAATAAAAAAAATATACTGGAATCAACTCTCCTTAAAAAAAACAAAAAGAAGGCTCCTTCATTTTTGTTGCCCCTCTGCTTTTGATTCTTCTTCTATTTCTTTGTGCACAGAGAGAGAAAGTCAAGAAAATAGAGAAGTAAAAGATTGCTAGGGTTTTTTATAAGGAAAAACATGGCACATCATTTAGTCTTAGGTTTTTTTTTTAAGGATGGAAATAATATAGTAATTTATAGTATTTTTCTTATATGATTTATTTTTTTTATTATTATTGATAATGTTAATGCACAATGCATTGTATCATTTGTGTTGTGTAAATCAAAATATGCATAGCCAGCTATTAAATATTCTGACCATTATAGGTTTATGGGAAATCAAACCATGCTCGCCAAGGCTTTCTAAATATTATCTTTACACCATTTTAACCTAAAATATGGTAAAATCATAATTGGATCCAAACAATCCATTTTTAATTTAAAATTTTATTTCAATGAACTTTGAAACTATGTAATAACAAATCAAAGTTTTGAAAATGCATTTACTCTAAATTTTAGATCTTCGTTTTCTAACTATGAAGGAGCTTTGTATGGCACTGAAATCATGAGTTTTATCCTATGATGCTATAATCATCCCTTATGCAAGTGATCAAAGGAGAAGGCAAATAAACATAGGGCATCGATATGCAAAATCATTAGTGAAAATTCATTGGAATGCCATTAATCAACAGTGAACTGCATATTTGTAAACAACGCTTATGAATAATATCCAACTCCTTGCTTCTTTTACATTTATAGAATGTTAGTTACGCTACATTATTAGGTTTTTTTTAATATAAATAAAATATTAAAAGTACGGAGAATATTTTAATAATATTATTAAACCTAACCAAATGAGATTTAAATTTTTATTTAATCTTTTGTCAGATTTAAGTATTTTAGATCTAATATCCAAGTAAGTTAGATCTAGCAAATTTGTTAAACTTTTAAGTAAACACGGGTCCAACACGACTTTTCAATTTTAAAAATAATAAAACAATACCAAAATACTAAAATGCCCCCTAATTATAGAAAATTATACAAAAGTAGTGTGAAAGAACAAAAATATCCCATATACAAAGGGTTTTTTTTATTTTGCAAGATTAAAAATGTATTTTAATTATTTACCAGTTTGTGAAAGGAAAAAAAAACTTGGGTAACAAGTCTTACTTGTGTTAACTTTGGGATAGAAAAGCATTTTTATAATGTAAATAATCATGAAAAAAGACAACTATACCCTCGTTCGAACTTTTAATGACCAATCAGCCTATAAAAAAAATATTAAAATAGCTCCACAACCGGGGTTTTAATTTTTTTTAACTAAAGGGCAAAATGTTAATTTAACTTTAAGTGAAAAGACAACATTAGTCTATCTTAAATCTCTAGAGCTTGGAAAATCCACTGTACAGATCTACAATGGACTATGTCTTGGTCTATAGTATATTTGCATAAGGTTGCCCAGACCCAAACGTCTTAGGTTTAGTAACCAAATAAACGTGGGTTCAGCGTAGCTGTTTAAATTTAAATATAATAACAAGACTAAAGCATTTTAGGTTTAGCAACCATGTCAGAATCACAGTACTTGAGTCTAACACCCAAGTAAGTTGGATCTAGCATGCTTACCAAACTCAAGTAAACATAAATGTAGTACAGCTTATTGAATTTAAAAATAATAAAAAAATATAAAAATGCTAAAATGTGTCTATGATTGTAGAAAATTACACAAAAACAGTGTGAAAGAACAAAAATACTCACATATACAAAGCTTACTTTTTTTGTCTTTTCTAAGGCTAAAGATGTATTTTAACTATTTAATTGTTTGTGAAAGATTAAAAAAAAAAAAACTCTAGTCAACAAGTTTTAATTTTATTAACCTTGGAGATAGAATAATATTTTTATTATTTAAATAAACATGAAAAGACTGTCATATCCTGCTTAAACATTTAATAATCAATAAGTCCATGAAAAATATTAAAATACCCTTACAACTACGGCTTTAATTTTTTCAACCAAAGGACAGGATTTTAATTTAATTTTCTATGAAAAGACAACATTAGCCTCATCTATGCAAATCTATAGTGGATTGTATCTTGGTTCACAATATATTTGCACAAGGGTTTGGGTCTAGCAACCAAGTAAACATACATTCATCGTAGCTTTTTGAATTTAAATATAATAGCTAGACCAAAATATCTTGGGTATGGCAACCATGTTAGACCCAATATACTTAAGAATGACATACATGCCTGATTTGACAAATAACAAACAAAGAAGATAATTATACACTTAAGTTATTAGGCGAGAGAAATGAAAGAAAAACACAAATAATCGATCATTAATGGTAATTCAACCATTATTTATTTACACGCGCCACACTATATGAAAGAAAACATGATTGCGCTTCCAATTAGATGGCAGATGGCCAAATTTAACCACTGGGATACGTCATATGCGTCTCTTTAATAACACGGGTGCTGCCCAATCATCGGGGTGTGAAGAATACACTTCAACAGTTTTTTGATTAAAAAAATAAAATATAAAAAATACTAAAATACTCCTATGATCCTTTTAATTACACAAAATATTTATGTAAAAATATCAAAATACCTCCAAAAAAAGCTTCTTTTTATATTTTCTGAAGCTAAAAACATTATTTTACTATACATGAAAATTGAAAAAAACCTAAAATACCCTTATCTAGCAACCCATCATTTTTTTTTATCTTGGAGGCAAAGAAGCATTTTTACTATTGCGAATATTGCAAAAATCCAAGAAAGCTTTTGGTCAACAATTTTAATTTGTTGACTCTTGAGGTAAAATAATAATTTTAATGTGTTAAAAAATTAAGAAAAAACACATAAACTCCTAAACAATCTTTTAATAACCACTAAATCAGATGCGAAAACTTAAACATCACTAAACTAAAAGCTTAAATTTAAGTCACTAAAAGGTAAAAAGATAATTTCATCGTCATAATCCAAATAAGAACAACATACAACTTCCATCATAGACTTATCATACCTATATTAAGCTCACTCATAATTCCATAACAATTAAGTATATTAATTTTATTCATTTCAATTCATCACTAGCACATTAATATAAATCAATTAAACAAGCATAAACATAACTTCTCCATTTTTTTTATTTATTCCTAACATGGCCAGTCACGCATACACCCAATACACCTCCATTTCTTTTTCATTTTTTTTTATCATTTTAAGTTGTTTCTATCCTATTTCATCTTAATTTCTTCAAACAATTAAATTTCACAAAACCCTTAAATTTCTATTAAGAACCCTAGTTTAAAAAATCAAAAATTATGCATTAAATTCATTTTTTTTCATTCAAACTTGTTTAAATGAGTTTAAAATTCCTTATTGAGCAATAAAATGAACTTCAAATGCTACTGCTAAAAATTGCTTCGCACCTCCTCTGTCTCCCTCTTTAGCCTTAAGTTTCTTTCTTTTTTTTCTGTGTCTCCCACTTGATTTTTCTCTAGATTTTGTGATAGATGATGTTAATCTCTTATTTTCTGACCCTCCATGATAAATTTATGTTCACTCTCAAGGATTTTTAATGTTGACCTATCTTTTCTCTCTTCTTTTCTTCATTTCTCTACTTTTCTTGCAACTCACCCCAAATATAAAGGAGAAGAAGGGCTGGATTTTTGGCCAAATGACTATGTTTTTATTTTTCTATATTTTAATCCAACCATTGACATTTTTCCAAGGCCGCCTCAAAATATGATTTCTCTAAAAAATTTACTTGATATAGACCAATATTTTAGGTGAATCCCTATAAAATCTCATCTGGATTTGATAGTAAAATTGATAATTATACTTGTTAGTGTGAAACTGGTTGCTATGTTATTTTACACCAAAATTCGAGTTTTCTTGTGCCCTCCTTGCCCATAGCATATTAATTATTCTACTAAGTCCTCGGACCATTTCCTTATGCCATAGTATATTTATTTTACATTTTTATTATTGAGTTCTTTTACAAACTTATTACTAGCTTACGATAATGTTATAATTTTTTTATAAACTATTTTTA